ACAAATAAGGTCAAAATAAAATCAATACTTCAACCAATCACTCATCCTTACCATTTTGCCTGTTTTTCCACAAGAAATAACATGAATAATCCATAATAAAGCTTAGAAAAAATTCGAAAGCAGTATTCTAAGCGATACATATATGCAAGTGATAACGACCAATTTTTTTCAAACAAGCACACCCACCTTTTTGATCTGTAATCCTAACAAGAGGCATGTTTTATCCAAGAAATAAACCACACAACAACCTGGTGAATCAACCCCGGCCAGATTTCCGCACAAATACTCAACCAGCGATTAATAACGAGACTTAGCGAAACATTCCAGAAAAATCACAGTAAGAACGGCATCCTCACAGCTTACGTGGTCGGCTATTAGTTTTCCATATATATCCCATGCTGAATAAATTTATTTCAATCTGCATAGACAACTGCAAGACATCGGGGAGACATACTTGATGGTAAAGATTGGTATTGGATCGCACAGAGACTTGCTTTCTCTCCGATCAATAATTACAGATACATTATGTATTGGTGACATTAAAATAATGATCAATCTCGCAACGCTATTCTGGCAATCTGTTGTGCATAAAAATTTTAAGTTTTTGTTTTCATTTTGGTATCTACATACAGGATAAATAAATTTTTGGCTGAACATCTGGCTGTGCTATATATTTTTAAATGTCAAACAATTTCCCATACTGGTAAACCTGAGAAAAAACATAGTCTGCTCTCTAAAGGAAATCCAGTGGACCTACTTGATACATTTAAACAGGAATAGTATAAAGTATACCGACTTCTTTTAAATGAGTGAAAAACCTGTTTTTAATGCACAGATATTATTGAACCCTTCATGACAACCAAGTTTGAATCAAGATGTGTTTTCAAGATGTAATATTGTGTATCGGTATTCTAGACAACAAGAATAATACACCAGTGTTGATTGGTCAATAGAATATCTTATGATACAGACTGAAATCAATGCGAAAATAATATCTCGTATTTTAAATTCTGCTGGTAGGACGTGACTGAATTTGGTCTGTTGTTCTACCAAAAAGCTCTGGAAATGACCTGGGTTTTCCTCTCCCAGTAAACCTTTGAATGTACCAGAATGGCAATATCTCTCATAAAATTTATGATTCAACTTTACAAGCAAGTCAGGCTAGCAATTTTCCCCATAAATTTAAGAGTTTTTTCCAACATAAGAAAATAAAAATCTTGGTTTTTTAACTGTCAAGCAAATGCTTATATTTTCAGGACTGCAAATAACAGTCTTAACACACGCACATTTTCATTAAAGACTGTAACAGGATTTGTAATGATTTTAGCAATATTGGTAAATAGTTATGAATATGTAACAAAACACGTCTCGATTCTCACAGATATTGACCAATATTTCTTCTAAATGTCAATAAATGGAACTTTACAGTCAAAACTATAACTGTGTCTGTGCCCCAACATTTAATTGTATTTTCACAAATAAGTTCTATAAATTGGTGAGCAGTGGCCAAGGGGTTAAGGTCCCCTCTAAATTTAGGGATTGTGGCCTTGGTTAGAGCCAGAGTGGGGTCACAACATATTTCCTCATATGAACCCTGCACCAGTCAGTTCCAGTTAGTAGACTAGAGTCTTTAAGCTTTTTACATAAAAAAGATAGATAAATAATGTATAAAATGTATAAAACTAAAAAAGCTTCATTAAAAACTTCAATGCCTCTGACAGAAGGTCAGGAGTTATGTGATTCAAAGTTGGCAACCAATCCTGCAAAGTTGCCTAATTTTAGGACTATAACAGTGAATAAATTGGCCCTACCCACCCTATAGACCCATCAAACAATACAGCCTTGTCTGTAGGACAGTATCTTCAACTATTCACAGTGCTTGACAGTAAAACAAGAGCAAGGATAATGTATAATTTTCTAAGTTCAAAAAGGGCTATAAATTCTGTCAAAATCCATGTTAAGAGTCATGGGCCTTGGATAGTGACATCCTATATAATGCTCTCAAATATGTGTGAAGTTTCAACCCATTCTCTTCAGTATTTCTGGAGATACCAATTTGTACGCATAAACTTAACCAACGTGTTACGGTGTCAGGTGATGCTGATGCCAGGTAAAATTGGTCTCCCTATCTTTGAAGTCAGGCTACAAACAAATTATCAAGTCAATAAGAATTATACCAACACAAAGCAACTTGGCAAAAAATAAGTTTTCTGCTGTCTACGTAATTAATTGAAACACTCCTAAAAATAAGTAAATAAACATAACAACAATGCAAACTGTCTCAAGCATAAAAAAGTTCTGCAATGTGTAAGTAAAGTAAACTAGTTAAGGAAGCCTGTGTCTTAAGGATCTGCAAATCTATACGAATTGTCTACGGCCTAATGCATCACATAAAGTATTTTTCTAGACACAAGTCAATAATGGATTCTGCAAAACAGAAATCTTATCTATCGATGTACTTAAATATTGGATTCTGGCATCACCCTTTTATTTTGTTGTCATGAAAGATTTCGGGCAATGTTTTTGTGATATTGACTCAGAATTACATCAGATGACAGTGTTGCATCAGATAAAAAGATCGAACCTGGCAATGTCCCAATTAAACTAAATCTAAATTTTTAAACCATCATTCACCCTTACATTTCTTTAGCTCTGCAATGGATTTGATTAGTTCTTGAAATTTGGATCTACCGGTATACTTCTTAGCTTAATTCAAATTTTAAACCATCATTCACCCTTACATTTTATAATTTCTGCAATGGACATGTTAAGTTTTTGAAATATGGACCTGAACTATCTACCATTAGCTAAGATAATTCAAGAACTAAACATTAGAGTGACATTATGCTCATTTTCTCGCAGTCTAATTGAGTAAAATCAGTAATATGTTTAAAAATATTGGCAATAATTATTGTGATTGACCAATTAATGAAAATTGTTTATACAATATAGAAATTACCTAAATTACAAAAATGATTGCCCCACTCTTTTTTTTAATGTATTCAGTGTAACCGATATATTCTGAACGATATTTATCAAAATTTCGTTGATCATGTGGATTAATGATTATTTTTTAATGGTAAAATATAAAACTGAACACAGTTACAGCAAAATGTCAAGTTATGTTATTTTGACCTGTTCACTGACCAATTACACTTGGATGGGCATTATGTCACTATTGAACTAAGATTAAGGCAACAATTTATAGTATATCAGACCATATAGATGTGCAGGCTGGCTTGACATTATCTTGCAGGCTAGGTCCTGTGCCCATCACCCATCTATGCCAGGGGTCCAGGTTAAAATTTTCAAACTTTTAATTTAAATACAGAATTTTAAAGGGTTTCCCAATATAAAACCTTTGAAAGATCTTGCAATTTATAGTTCCCTTCAAAAGGGTTCCAAATGAGAAACCAAAAAAACTTAACTACAAAAATTTGAAATTCTTTTCATAGTTTTTAAAAGGGGAAAATCTGCAAAAGGAAAAATTAAATATACACTCAAAAATTTTATTGAAGGGTTATTTTTTTTATTTATTGTCAGCCAATTTAAATGAAAAGCATTGGGAAAGCTTTTTTTTTTTGGGTCTTTTTGGGGGAATAAAAATGTTTTCTGGAAAACGGAAAGTGGGAAAGATCGGAAAATTTGCCCCAAAAAGTTTTGGTCCAAGAAACCCTTATCAAAAGGTAAACCCCAAATCCCCAGTAAAAAATTTTTCCCGTCCCATCATCTCAATAAAAAACTGTAATACTAATATTCGTAAAAAATGTTTTAAAATCTATATCAAGATCAATTTTTTACCATGCTATAAAGTAAATTTTTCATATTATTCATTCTTCAAAAGCTGGTGCCTCAAACTGACTGCTTTATTTACAACAACTTGTACTACTATAATCCAATCAAAGGACAGCAACAAAAAATATGTGAAATTTCTCATATTGAATAACGTTCCCCATTTAAAACGAACACTGCCCAAATTAATTCAAGATTCTTAATCTGACGCTCAAAATGCAACTGTCAACCTCTCTAGAAGGAAAAATCAATTTTCAATAATTATTCTTTTTCACATGGCAGTGCTAAGATAGGTAACTCATACAGGTTTTAGCTCGAAGAAAAATGTCAGAGTTATCTCTCAGATAGTTTCTATGTGATGGTTACATTTTGTTGAATTTAGTGTCACACGAAGTAAAATTAATTTAAACAGTTTGTTTTGTTAATTTTGCCCCAATGAACAGTTTCAACAATATATACTGACATGGTGTACCTCATTTCTGTACGAGTGCTTATGTTTTCTTTTTGCAGATCAATCGTTTTTAAATAGCTGCCAAATAAAATGAGTACTGGACATAGCCGACATACTATCATTAATAAAAGCGTCAAAGAAAACTTGAACTCATGACTCACTGGCTTGAAAACCTATTAATTACATGTACAGTTACTTGCCCAATACTGAGCTTCAAATGTGCGATTTTTATGAGGTGGAAATAAATAAAAGAACATCTGGAAATAATTTCATTTCTTCCACATTTCGAGATTTTTTCCAAAAAGCAATCTGATCATAACAGTAAACAGGTTACGGGAATTATCCCCTTAATGGAGGTCTTTATAATTTAAGTGTCAAAGAATACCTATTAAAAAATAAAATTTAGAAGAACATCGCAACATTTCAAAACTACCAACCACTGTGCATAACAGGTGCTCTTGATACTCTATCAGAGAACTTGAAACATATCCTTAGACACAAAATGAAGACAGCTGTCTTTTTGTCTTTTTTATAGCGACAAAAGACAACACCATACTGCATAGATCTATTACTCACATTTGTTTGGTTTATTATCAATCCCGCAAGAAAAATAACCTTTGGAGAATACATCCAAAACCTTTGGAGAATACATTAAGTCATCATAGCCTCCAGTATTTACATTATTCAATTCTCTCCAGATGACTTTCTACAACACAACACAATACATATACATTTAACAAGTTCTCAAGATACAAACCTTTTCCACCTTTTTTCTTCTTTTTCTTTCGTTTTGGGTCCTCTCTTTGAAGTGGTTCTAGTTTTCTTCCCTCTGGCATATTTTTGACCTCATCACTTGGCACTTGGGATATCAATGGCCCTATTGAACTAGCCACTTTGTCAAATTGTTCAGCTCCACGACCGAATGGAGGCTCTTGTTTATCTCTTTTATAACTGTTTTTCTCTATTTTCACTCTATCACTACTGAACTGAGGGTTTTGATAAGAAGAATAACGGCTATACTGAGATGTCCCTTCTTTCAAACTTGAAAAATTTATGCCTCGATCCACATCACTACCACGCAATGAGGAAGAGCCTAAAGATTCAAATGTTGGCTGGAATGTCGGAACATCCTTGTTAAGAGGTCTGTAACCCATATTATAGTATTTGTGTCTGAATGAATTATCGTCTTCACTTTCTCCCGAAGTATTAAAATCGTCCTGGTAACTGACAGTATCGCGTCTAAAATTAAACTCGTCATCGTCATCATCGACTATTTCTCTGCTATTAAAGGTAGTCATTTCAATACCTTCGGAAATATCACTCCGAGGCGAATTCACATCTTGCGATGAATGATCTGATTTAACCTCATGAGCTTCGTCATAGTCTAAATTAAGTCCACAGCCCGAGCGTATTTTTATCTGGGGTGGATAATAATCAAATGACACGCCCCTTCCTTCGTCATCACTTCCATCCTGGTCACTCAGACTGTCGATACTATTTGTTGCCTTACTTGAGTTACAAACTCCTGAATCATCGTCAAATCTACGTGTATCCGATTCTGATGATCGTGTACTGATTTTTGTAGATGTATCAAATCGGCTTCCCCGACCACTACTGTAGTTGAACTTCACTTCATCGTCTTCACTCTCTACATCCTTGCTGGGCTGCGTCCATGCTTTAGTAGGGGACTCTCTGCGGCAGGTCATTGTTGAGCCTGAAGTTTAACGATAACTTGATATTTATGATAACCTATACATGAATACAGATCAAAAGAAGAGCTCTTATATCGTCTATGACACTGTAACGTCTATGAGCAAACAAAACTTTGCTATTTGTCTTTTGTAATAACTCTGTAACAGCACATGGTCAATACCATAAAATCAATCCTTAAGAATGTAAATATTAGATCAACTGATGACATAATATGCCCCAGTCTACAAGACTCATGACAATATGTCTCACAGAATTTATCCGCTTGGACAAAAAGATTTCACTACTGTTAAAAGTCCATTTTGAGGCATCAGAGGCCTAACAGTTAAGATCATTCACTTCAAACTATTTACCCCTCACAGCTGTTGGTTCAAAGCCCTTCTGAGACTAAACTGTTCCATGTAGGCTATCCAGCTACATGTAGCTTTCGTATCTTCTCATATACCTACTTGTTCCTGAAACAATACACTAAAGCACAACCAAAGGTATTTGTCAGTAAAGCTAGAAGGTTGCCATATGACCTGTAGTACCTAAGTATCTTCAACTATTTAAATATTCAAAAGATAATCACTACCTGCTGGTGCGAGACTGTAGTGACGCGCCTGCAATACCAAACTGTTAAACTCTCCGTCCGGCAAATCAACTATCTTCCTCGCCTTGTCTTTGATGTCTTCCAACTATAACACAAAAAGAACAACATCGATAAATAAGTTGAAAGCTAATAGCAGACAATATGATCATAACTCAAAATGTCACTCATGGTACAAATGGTTGCTCGGCAACAATTTATCATCTTAAATACAGTTTCACTGACTGTTTGAAAATACATGTATTAATAACAGTATAGACATAAATATTGAAGAAAAATGCAGACATTCTAAAATAACTGCAGCAACAAAGCTCAATACTTTAATATATAAATATGTAAACTTTAAATACAGGTATCTAAAATAACATTGGAGTTTCGTCATCCTGTCAAAAAAGTTCTTTACTGATTTTCCCTAACAGTAAAAATATCACATCATATGACAAGATGAATATGTATTTAGCAAGTAACCTGATTTTACCATTTACACATGACATGTTTCCGTCCTTAATAAAATGTGGATTTTACTTGCAAAACTAAAGCTGCACATTTTTTTTATATATATTGTTTCACACATTTGACGACAGTTTTTTATAATCATTATATTGACACTGACAGCATGTAAATATTGCAGATCTTGCTTACAGGTTTGGTCCTACTTTTGTTGTGACCATTATGTTGTCTTTTTTCACTTGCCCTGCTAAACTTTAGCAAGGTTAGTGAAAAAACAAACCATACCATATTCATAAAGATATTTCTGGCTTTCATGAAGACATTTCCGGCATCTAGAGTGCAGCCATAGATTATAATTATATACATTGTATTTAAATAAATCCAAAAAAGTAAATTAGTTACCTATTTAATTTTATTCATGCTATTACTAGAGGGTAAATGCAACTTTGTTTGTGCATGAACATCAACAGAAGCACGAGGATGTATTTAAAGCGAAAGCCAGTAAGGACAAGGATTTAGTAAGTCCGACAGCTTCTGCAGATGTTTATGTAACAAAAACAGGTGCTTTAGTGCTTTCCATGCATAAAAGCATGTGTCAAATTGGTATGTTTTGTTATAAAGAAACTATCCTGTCAAGCTTTCTTTGTGCTAGTGCAATGTCAGTTGACAGTGATGTTTTGATACATTGTAATGAAACTACCACGGCAACCATTGCAACAAGCTATTTTACTAGAACTGTCATTGCTTTAGTGCAAAGTATTTCAATGTTATACTGATACAATGCAGTGTTTTTTTTCTTTATATAACTACTACACTAAAACGGTACTGTTCCCAATAGAAAATAGACATAAAAATTCCCAATTTCCAATGTTTAATTTCCCAAAATGGCTGTTCAAAATAACCACAAGGCCAAGTGATTTCTCTGAAATCATTTAAATCCAACATATTCATATAAATCACCACTCAATAGTTCTCCCTGGACATTGGAAGCTGTTAGCTATCTCTATTCATGATGACTTATCTTATTATGCTTAAAAAAAAATTTCCCAATTTAAGTCAAAATAACGCATAACCCAATCAGTCTGGTACTGGCACCATTCCCAAAGTAGAGAAAAAAAACACTGCAATGTACAATGATTTTTTTCCTTAAATTGTGAATGGGTCCGGTATTGTAACAATTGTGAAAAAGAAAATATTCAAATTGTGTATTTTTTTCTTAAAAATGAAAATTTACCCAAATGACCCTTTTTCAGATATTTCACCACTCTTTGAGGGCATTTTTCTTACACTATCACAGGATGTTTACCTCCTATTCAGTGATTTTTTTCACTATTTTACAGCCGAATAAAGGCTGTTTCCCAAAGCCCAAAATAGGTTTATTTTCCCCTAAAAATGCTAATATTTTCCCCTATTTAAAAATACCACACGCTCTTCCTTACAAGAACCATGACATAACAGTATCTTTAAAGACAGAAAGCTGTCACTATAGACAGCCTCTGCTATGTACCATGTATGTAAAAGTGAATTAACTAGAAATGTGTCCATAGGACACGGATGCCCCCACACGCCACTGTTCTGTCAATCTTATGACTCTAGATCAAATATTTTTTGGACTACATGTGCCACAAGTTGAAAACTAAAAATCAACAAAGGGCCATAATTCTGTTAAATTTGGTCGCAGCAAAAATTCCTTCCTTTACTACCATCTACACATTAAGGTTGTTAACCCCTGGAAGTTTAAGCAAAATCTGCCCTCCGGTTTAAGAGGAGTTGCGTTCACAAAATTTCTACATAGTATATAATGAAAAAATCAAAAAAGGGCCATAATTCTGTAAAATTTGGTTGCAGCAAAAATTCCTTTCTTTACTGCCATCTACACATTAAGGTTGTTCATCCCTGGAAGTTTAAGCAAAATCTGCCATCCGGTTTAAGAGGAGTTGCATTCACAAAATTTCTACATAGTATATAGTGAAAAAATCAACAAAGGGCCATAATTCTGTAAAATTTGGTCGCAGCGAAAATTCCTTCCTTTACTACCATCTACACCTGAAGGTTGTTCATCCCTGTAAGTTTAAGCAAAATCTGCCATCCGGTTTAAGAGGAGTTGCGTTCACAAAATTTCTTATATAGTATATAGTGAAAAAATCAACAAAGGGCCATAATTCTGTTAAATTTGGTCGCAGCAAAAATTCCTTCCTTTACTACCATCTACACATTTAGGTTGTTCATCCCTGTAACTTTAAGCAAAATCTGCCATCCGGTTTAAGAGGAGTTGCGTTCACAAAATTTCTACATAGTATCTAGTGAAAAAATCAACAAAGGGCCATAATTCTGTTAAATTTGGTCGCAGCGAAAATTCCTTCCTTTACTACCATCTACACATTAAGGTTGTTCATCCCTGTAAGTTTAAGCAAAATCTGCCATCCGGTTTAAGAGGAGTTGCGTTCACAAGATTTCGGGACGTACGGACTGACGGACGGACTGACTGACGGACGGACTGACGGACGGACGGACGGACAAGTGCAACGCTATATGCTCCCACATTGTGGGGGCATAAAAATGAAAATTTTATAAAAATGGGTTGGTAATTTCCATTCTCAGTTGTTGGAATCTGATTTCAGGCCCTTTTCTGATTTATCTCACTATATTTTCCCCTTCGAAAAGCCACAGGTTGTTTTGAAAATTGGAAAAAAAAACTACTATTTATATCAGATATGTTTGCAATGTACAACTTGTTCAGAATATGTTCTAAAAATTTGACCAGTTCGCTGAAGAATGTCTTTCATTATTCGATAACCGTACTACTGAAAGACTAATCTTAATTCATTCAGCTTAAAAATCTTTGTCAACAAAGTTGAAATTAATAAAAATACTGCCGCAAAATTCCCATTAATTCAGGTTTTATCTAATTGAAAGACCCTTGTTAAACATATAATTTTGCCATTTCGGATAGTCATGTGATTAAACTGTAATAAAAAAATATCTGTGAAGTGAATTGGAAGCAATTCAACTTTTAGTTTGAATCAGGGATTTACCGGACGCAGGATCCTGCGTCATATACGCATAAAATGCCATCCTGTACGCACAAAAAATAAATTCTGCCTACACATGGACGCAGAAAAATTGTCTAAAGTAACTGTCATTTTAAATACTTAGTATCGTGACCACACAAAAATTGTTTAGAGTAACTCTCCTTTCCGTATTTTTACGATATCTAAAATGTTTTGGACAGCGGTGAAGGTCATGGGAATCACCAATTGGTATTTATAGTAACACGTCAGTTTATTGGGTAGTTAATGTCCGCATTTAAAATACCGATCAATCATTAGTGAGCACCAACGTGTCCCGGTTATTATTATCAGTCGGAGCGCTCGGTTGTTACTGTTATCTATGACAGTACTTTCGGTTTAAACTATACTTAAGAAGTTTTTGGGTGGGGGTGGTCCGAAACAAAAATGAGATGACAATGAGACTGTCTCGTTGCCTGTAACTGAACGAGTACATCATCTTAACAATCCACAAAACAGAAACGTGACACAACATTCCGGTCTGTCTGGTAATAGATAGATACAAGTGATTAGAGCTTTGAATGAACAAATGTTTCTTGTCAAAATACTAAAAAGTTGTTTTTTGTTTGTGTTTGCGAAATAAATCTGAAATTATTTACAATAGTCATTTATATTGCAATCTTAGTGTACTTCTTCTGTGAGCAGTAAGCTATTTCGAAAATTGACTGGGAGTGGACCCCAAAATTTTGTGGTGGACACCTGTTTTCATAGATCCTGCGTCCAAAGGACCCCTAACATAAAAAATCCCTGGTTTGAATATCAGCAGTTAGATGATGTTTTAATTTTAAACAATACATCAATGCAAAGACAAATTGAGATTTTTAATCACTTATATTAGAAAAAATCAGAAAAAAGACGAAATTGTTAGCTAAATTTAAGTGGATTGAGATTTTTTTTTCAGGATTGTGAACGGGTTGGTCGGACCCATTCTAAAAATTGTGAAAGACCGTTTGTAATTGTGAATGGGTCCGTTATTCGGTACCACTTATATTAAGAAAAAAATCCCTGTGATATTGAATGACTATCAATGATAAACCAAATATATTGTTAACAGACTTCCCGAAATACGTCGGTCCGACGGACATGTCCGATAAATTTTGATCAGGTCAGATGAGTTTTTATTCTGGATCGATCCGACTGTCCGGCTTTTATCCAAGCCGCATGTATACAAAATGGCGTCGCTAAAGGTGCCAAACCTTGGAAAAATAAAAAATCTACGTCAGAGGATCAGGCAGAACAGCAGTAAAAGGATAAAAAGAATAGACCTGAGACAAAATTTAATGAAAAATAGAAGCAAGACAGTGAATCGTTGGTGTATGATAGGGAGGAGATGAAAATGCGCGGTAAGGAAAGTGCCGATTTTTACGTCGAAAAAATTAAAAACAAAATGTGTCTTAGAAATACAAACACAAGTTATTCTGTGATTTTGATCAAATTTTATTTGGTCCGACAGATTTTGTTTCGGTTAGACAGATTTTCATGGTTTGTCAGACCGAATGTCTGACAGTTTTTTTCAACTTTCAGGAAGTCTGTGTTAAATAATTCTATGCTGTCTGTAGCTTAAAAAATATTTGTTTTATTTTTGAGAAATTTTGTCAAATCTATGAAAGGAATATGTTCAAATTTTTCCTTAAAATATGTTCATAAAGTTTTGTGTTTTTGTATTCGTTTAAAACTTTTCACTAACACTTTTTTCTAAACAAAGTCCAAAAAGATAGCTTATGGTACCCAATTTAGTTAGACTCTAACTGATCTCATTATACTTGTACTATTTCTAGCTGTAGTAGCACAAACAATTAAAAATGTCATGCTTGTTATAAATGAAATCATTTCCAAGAATATTAACTGCATTAAACAGATGCATTTACATTCATAAGAAACAAGCAGTGGTCTAACCACTCTATATTTACAATTGAAACCTAATTTAACAAGCAAATTCATTGAATTTATATCCCCCGCCGAGTACTGGTTATTATTAACACAACAACTGAAGACATAAGGCTTTATCTATATATTAATCATGGCATAAACAGTAATATTCTTTGAACTTGATAAATATTCAGGGCAATAACCGAGCCATAACTTTGTGTTAAATAGTAATATCTGGAAATGCCAATGAGATGTATGCATACTGCATAACTAATCAAGGGCCA